TTTAATAATTATAATTATTATGCCCAAAGTGGTGGACGATGGGAATGGGAAACGAGGTTTCTCATTCCCTTCATCCAAAGATTGCTCAGCAGTCCCACGGTGTCCCATGGACACCAGCGTAAGCAGTTCCACGGTTTCTACAGGTCCAGTTCAGGGTGCTGAACTGTTTGACTGTGTAGGTTTCTATACAAACGAATGCACGAAACCGTATTAGTGAAGAAAACCGTGGGATTGCTTAGGTAAGCATTTTGGGACTTTGACGAGTTTGGACGACTCGGAAAGCACCAGAGTACGTCAGAGTACGGCAGGAGTTGAAGATGGACGGACGTCCTCTCCTAGCCAAAAATCTAGAGTACGATCAGGAGCAAAACAGAGCGGATCTCTGAGCTCAGACCATCAGCCAACCAAAAACCAAGTCAAGTCAAGGTCCCAAAGTCGAGTCAAGTACCGCGTTATACCGACCCATTAAACACTACCGTGTATAAAAGGAAGTTAATATATAATTATTTTACCCACATTAGTACGGTCGGTTTAATATCGTTAACCCTCCCTCTATCCTTCACTTATCCCTCCGATTGAGCGAACCACCCGCGAGCTCACCGAGACTAGCCGAGGTCGGAGGTGAACATGAGTTAAAACAGATCAAATTAACTCATTTCGTCACATGTCATTTCAATCATTTGTTTTTTCTATTTGTACCACAATATACACGAAAAATATTTTGCGTAGTTTTTTTCTTTAATTCTTCATCATTAACATCATTTGACAATTTTTTTTTTTTTATATTCCGGCCCTTTCTGCCCTCTGATTGGCTAATCGGCCCTATCCAACCCTATGCATACCGCTCTGGATTCTACACTGCACCGCATTCGCACTCCTATCGAACATAGGAGTAGCATGGGAAACCACAGAAAACCCATGCCGGTACAGGCGGTCACTATATTAGCAACCTCCCGCTCGCCGGAGCCTCCGGTTGAAAAACTCGGTTTCACGGGGAATCGAACTCACAACCTTTCGCACACTAGGCTCGCACCTAGCCACTTCGGCCACCGACGTCGGTGTTCATTTGACATTATTTAAAAATGGGGTAAGTAATTAATCGGTAGCAGAGGATGCACCTGTACCGTTCGGCAGGCAATACCGCTCACCCGATTTTCTGCACAATCATGAACTCGAAATTTTTTTTCCCTTCCTCATCACGAAGGATTTAATGATACGATGTGATGACCGGAAAAATTTCACTCTATTGACCGCTTTAGAAAAAAGAACGAAGTTTCGAGTGCAAAATTGGTGAACTAGTAATTAACCCTGTATTGGTCACCATATCAGGGAAAGCCCGCCGCGCGTCCTTTTTCTTTAATTACAATAACCGGAAAAATTCAGAAAAATTTGACTTTGTCAATTGAAGTGTCTAAAGAATTATAGTAGTTTAAACATAACAGATTTCTCGAAATTTCAAACAGATGAATTATTTTTTTCCATGTTAAATGAAATTGCTCATGACGCGACGTTGCTGGAAGCTCGCTAAACGTGCCCAGGCAATGTAGAGTGAATTCGGCAACGCTAGAGCCTTCATAATACGGCGGGGAATCCCCGTGGAGGTGACCAGACTAGGGTTAAGGTTTTTGATAGTTTCAAATGCCGAATTGTTATATTAAGCTGTAATTGTCCGATCCGTGCTACTTTCACGCATAATTTGAGAGCCATTCGAACACGAAACCCAATTTGCGTTAATAATTATCAACAATTTTGTTGACACCGAGCGGATCCGGTAATACACCGCCCATAGGATCGGCGACAGGTTAGGTTGCAGCGCGAGCGACATAGGCCTTCCGGTAGAACCTTTTCCTTCATTTTCAGGAGTGGGAGACACGGATTCAAGTGGAAATCACGTAGAGAGGGGATTCCCCCGAAGGAAAAACTTACACTGGAAGACCTATACACGCATATCCTATGGATGGCATTAGAATCGTGCCGAGCGGTATTACCCGACGGCGGGTAGTTGTTGACGGCTTTGTTGTGTTCAATACAAATTCAATAGAATTTTCTAGCGAATTCGATAGGTTTTTCTATTAAATTTTTCGTCCGTGTACTCGTACTTCAACAGTTCGTTTATTTATTTTTCGTCATTCCGGCTGTAAGGCAGCGCTTTACGAACGCTACACATTCGTAAATTGCTGCTTACAGCCGTTATGACAAAAAATATCATTCGACATGCGGCCAACAAAAGCTTTTCTATCTCATAATTGTAACCCTTGCCTTCGGCTTGAGCTGCAAACTCATATTCGCCAGAAAATTTTTTTCGGCCTAATGACGAAACATACAATTTGTACAGCCCATCTAAATTATAGTGAATAAATTGACTTGGCTCAGGCCAAAACCACCGATGTAATTTGTGAATAAATTCCCAACCTGCAATTTCCTTTCTGTCGCCATCCTGGAAATCAACGAAAACTCAACAGATTAAAAAAAACAAACTTAAAAGCAGGAAAGGGTATACAAAAAAGAAAAATTTCACTTACAAGAAGTGAATATTGAACAAAGAAATAGTCGATTTTCTATTTCTCAATACATAGAAGCGGATGGAACACATGAATACTTATGAATCGGGAACAGATATGCATTTATTGTAACAAGTGAAATAATTCTATCTACGCAGTAAACATCCTGCCATAGGGCATCGATGACACCGAGGGGAAAATATCAAATTCACCCTCTTTTTTTCCTCCATTCATTGCATTATATTTCACTATGCTTAACTTTCGATTTTCTCCCTATTTTGTTGTTTTTTATTAACTGCGTTATCTAGATGTGTTGACCTTCTCATTTTTTCTTCCCGAAACTGTTCATGTCTCGTACGTTCACACAATTTTAACATGCTTAGTCTTTTCTACCTACAATTTGTTCATGAACAGAGCTACGTTTTTTCTTCGCATCATTTATACATCAATCATTTTTTTTTGCAATGAATAGTAGGAATAATCAATAATAAATTCTGCCTTTCAACTGATTTATGAACAGAACTATTAAACAAATACACATGAACGCCGTTATTGCCTTGATTTCGACGAGTTCTCTTCCATCCGAAAGTATTTTGATTCATCCAATACATTAATTTGTTTTAGTAACGTAAGTGACACAGGGCACCGGCCGAACGAATGTTGCTGGTCAATTACTCCAGACAAATCACTCGGTTTATTGCTTTCCTCCGCTTATTCTTGTACAAGTGAACTTGTAATAACGGTTACACTAACACTATCCATTCTACAACAGTTGTCAACTCCTTGACAATCAATATAATTACAGTATTTAAACAGTGAAGTTATCACATTTCTTTAATAGAAAATTAAAAAATGTGCTCACATCCAAAGTTACAATACAACACACCATTGATAAATATAACACAGTCCCCTATTAGGGCTACTTATTTATCATCCCGAAAATGGCGAGAAAAATAGAAAAATTGTTTGTACATTAGATTGGAGTTGATGCTGAAGAAACGGTTACAGGTTCCAGACCCATCGGGAAGTTTGTTTACAAGAAAACAGAGTAACAAAATCACATCTTATACTAAATACAAACAAAAACTTGTTTTGTAAAAAATGGCGATAAAAATGTGAAACTTAGCTGATGAAATGTCAAAACAGGGGAATATTTTTGTTGAAAAATTAGAGCTGGTAAGAAGGCTCCTTTTCGTACAATTTAATTGATTTTTTTTCCTCACATTTCTTCGAACACACTATTTGAGCAATATCAGTTTGGAACAGCTCAAATGGACTGTAATAAAACAGCTTTAAGGTACTTCCGCAATTTTCATGGGTGATAAGAATCCCAATCTACTACAGACAGTGTTGAGTACGCCGAAAAATGGTTCCCAAAATTTCGACGACTTTATTTTCATCTTTTTCGAGATACGAATAATCGAACATCAAAACTTTTTTTTTCAATAATTTACAATGCACATCTCAACAAAGGCAAGGTTAAAATCGTTGGCGAAATTTCGGTGACGAAATACGTATGAAATTTCATAGAAAAACTTTGCGAATTTGCTAGACAATTCGATTGGCTTTCTGCTGGCCGATTCTATTGAAATGTTCAATAAGAAATATTCTATAGAAAAAGTCAATAGAAGTGAATAGAATAGAATTTGATTTTTATAGTTGTAACTTATTCTATTGAGATATTCTCTACACGATTTCCTCGGCTCAAATCTTCCAAGTTTTTTTGTTTGATTTTCTTGATTAGAATAGAAAATTAGAATGAAGAAAACATGGAAAATTAGATTCGAGGAAATTCTATAGAAAATATCTCAATAGAATAAGTTGTATAGAAAAATCGAATTCTATAGAATATTTTCTACTGAATATTTCAATAGAATCGGCCAAAAACTTATAGAAAGTTCACTAGAAATCCGATAGAATTGTCTGGCGAATTCACTGGGTTTTTCTATTAAATTTTTTCGTGTGTGACTTTTAACATATTGGAACTTCTTTCCAACTCGCGGAAGTACTTTGATGGTTCGGCAAGTATCGTCCAAAGAATAAGTGAATAATCATTCGTTGAATACCACACTTAAACCTAATATTATAACAACGCACATTTACATTGAAGCCATGTCTGTATTGGCTTCTTCTCCGTTAAACACACTCCACAACAAATAATTATCTTTTGGTTTTATTGCATGAGCATTTCATATCTTTACATCACAATCGATATTCACGTAATTGAGAACACCAGAGTAAGACAGAATTGTTCCATCAAATGTTCTCACAGAAAGATCAGTCATAAATTATCCAGAGTATCGTTCTGGAACAAGTAAAATAATCTGCTCAAAGATGAATAAAGGTCAAAAGGAGACCTTAACTGCCGATGAGAATTAAGAGTTCCAAATTAACAAGCAATTGTGGAGAACAACGCAATCAATCCAGTGAACATGATGTGCCGCCTGAGAGAGATTTACACACGAAAAAAATTTAATAGAAAAACCTAGTGAATTCGTTGGACAATTCCATTGAATTTCGATTGAACTTTCTATAAGATTTTGGCTTATTTTGTTGTAATGTTCGCTAGAAAATATTCTATAGAAAATCAGAATAATTCGATTTTTCTATATACCTGATTCAATTGAGATATTTTCTATAGAATTTCCTTGGATCAATTTTTTTTCATTCCATCTTTCGTGTTTTTTCATCAAGAAAATCAAACAAAAAAACAGAAAATTTGCGTCATGGAAATTCTATAAAAAAATATCTCAATTGAATCTGCTGCATAGAAAATTTTAATTTTATTCATCAATGAAAAATCCTTCCACGGGCCATTCTGCGGAGTTTTCTTTGATAATTAGAAGAAGCGGTTGATAAATAATTAATTCCATTCGTTTTTGCTATAGAATATTTTCTACTGAACATTTCGACAGAAATCCAATAGAATAGAGAACTTGCATGAATTTTTCCAATTTTCTAATCTCAAGTTTGGTACCTAAATACTTCATTTTTCATTCACAAACGTTCAAAATATTGTTCATTAATTAATAATTTATCGTCAAAAGTTGAAGATTTCAAACGCTTTGAAATGTCTAACGATGTCACGCAGGCGGTCGAATGCAGGACCAATCACAGAATGGCTCGGACCGACCTGACCCCATCTTAGGTACGCCTCGGCCAATAGAGGACGCCAGCTCCCCTCTCTCTTCTTTTTTAACCAATGAAGCATTAGCTGATCGTCTTCGTGACGTTGTGACCGAAAAATTGGCCTCGAAAACGACTGATTTTCAATTAATTATATATAAGGAAATGTCATAAGACATCTAGGCAATATTTCCCCATAATTTTCGCCGTTCACCAATCCATATATTACGAGAAATGTGTGAACAGGGGAATTAGAAGGAATTGAGCTTTATGCAAGTTCCCTATTGTCTAGCGAATTCCCTAGATTTTTCTATGAAATGTTTTCATACGTGTCTGTTCATTCTTTATCCCACCCCGACACTATCACCACTATTCTAAATATGTCACAAAACGTCGGTCACATGGACTGCTACCAAGTCTGGGCGACGCTTGGCCCTCATTCATACTTGGGTTCTGATCTTCAAATTTATCAATTGAACGACGTCTCGCGTTCATGAAGAAATGTCCAACTGTCGAAGGTTCGAGGCCCAAATTGTTGGCGATTATCACCTGCATGTCCTTCGACGGTCTCTTTGTTTCTTTGAAAATAGCCTGTAGAGTACGTCGCTGAATGTCTGTGAAAATCACCCGCTGTTTCTTGGGGGCAGGCTGCTGGTTTTCTGTCTGCCTAGTCATCTCGTCTTTCCTCTTGCAAGACGTCTTGATCTTCTCTTGCGAGATGTGTGGAGCATAGTTGTGATACTGCTGCTGATGAGTATCCACTCCCGGCGCTCGATGATGAATATCCAGCCTGGCATCCGATTGTCCGCCACACTCAGAGCATCTGTTGAAGGATACCTTTTTCAATAGTGATAACTTTTCGAATTCTGGCTCCTGCAACCACTTCCACATACGTCTGAACGTCTCACGTCCACCTTTAAGCTTGGACCATGGCTTTGGATTTCTGAGTAGATCACTGAGTGTACCCTGACTGCGATGCAGTATCCTCTCTGCAAATATTGATTGTGGAATGTTGTATCTCTTCAACTCAGCACTGATTTGACGTGCCAATTCCTTGGTATCAATCTCCTCAACTTTCCAAGCACATTGTGGTGATGGATAATTGTGGGGTGGTGACATACCCTTTGGGGGTGATTTACCATATGCATGTGGTGAATTTTCGAGTCCAATTCCCACATCGTCAGGGTCACTATGCCGTTCGAGAGGAGGACTACCAAAAAGAGTATTAGCTGTGTGCCCGGCGTAAACAAATTTATCGCTCACTGCTGATATTGGTGGTAATGGTTGTAGCGGTGTTATTGTTGCGTAAGATTGGCAAGGTGAAACGTCTGGCGGCGACATCTCCTCGGTCACCAATGTTGATATGTGATGAGTCAGTTCTGGTTGCCACGAACAGGAGTCCACAGTGTCGATGGCAATTGGTGATGATTTACTGGGACTCGAGAATTCAGAGTCGGCGTCCGGTGAGTCAACGTCGTGGAGGTATTGATGAGATGGTGACAGATCGTCCGCAAGATCGAAGTCTCCCGCTACCTCAGGTAGTTCCATCTGTAAAAAAAATGATGGCATTGATTGAACATTAAATATTAAAGAAGGGAATTTATATAGCGTTTCACATCTTTGTGACGTCATAGGAAATGCTTGGATGGGATTTGGATGATAGGAGGGGAACTGGGATTATTCTCAATATGAATTTTCAAATTTCCGAGGGACGTTCATCGTACCCATTTCATTGAATAATACACTGTTACAAAGGATTAGTTATTCCTATTTTACTAAAGATGAAAGAAACGTGAAGTTGTTTTATATCGAAATATCTCGAAACTGCCTGACCGCTAATTCTTAATTCTGATTGGTCAATATGTGACACGAAGTTATTCACAAAAAAAAAACACGCGGCATTTTCAAATTCTTCAGTGACATAATTTCAAATTCTTCAGTGGTAAATTTTTTTTTCACGTCATATATATATGATGAATATCCAGCCTGGCATCCGATTGTCCGCCACACTCAGAGCATCTGTTGAAGGATACCTTTTTCAATAGTGATAACTTTTCGAATTCTGGCTCCTGCAACCACTTCCACATACGTCTGAACGCCTCACGTCCACCTTTAAGCTTGGACCATGGCTTTGGATTTCTGAGTAGATCACTGACCATTAAATGGGGTGGTGACACCCCATATGTGGAGCCACACTCAGTAAACAAATTTATCGCTCACTGCTGATATTGGTGGTAATGGTTGTAGCGGTGTTATTGTTGCGTAAGATTGGCAACAAATCTTTTCTTATGTAATATATATATATATCACATTTATATATATTATCGGTGAAATTATTAAATTAATTAATTGAAAATGAAAAATTCTTTATAGATTCTTTTACTCTACTTCGCTATTCACTTCAATCATTAGTCGAATTCTCTTTGATTCATTATCAATATTTATAAAGTATTCATGAGAAAATGAAATTTAATGAATTGCATTTCTTCATTTCAACAAATGAATAGATCAGCGCGCGCATAAATCTTGTGTTAACAAATGGATTTAGTTGGAGGCTAGGGTTTATTCGGGTCTCATCCCTCGTTTAACTCGACTTTCACCTTTCAAGTGAACCATTCGTTAATTATTAACGAATCTTTGTTTGGTCATATTGAACTCTACCATTCGATAATAGTCTTGAGATTTTTTCTATTAGAATTATTGGGCATCAATTTTATAAGTTCTTTCCACTCGGATTTTACAATGAAAAACAAAATTCAGCGAAAATAGCTTGGAGAATTTGTGCCTAATAATTCTAATGGAAAAAATCTCAAGAGAAAAATTCGAACAGAAATTCAAAATATAGACTTTTTTCTATCAAATATGGAATAGAATCAGCGCAAAAAATTTTAGGGGGCTGTATCTTCGATGTAGCTGTAATTGTACGTGGATACGTGCATGGTCTTTCCTGCTTTCTCGAATTTTCTGGAAACTCTTTGAATTCTCTCGAATTTTCAAGAAACTTCTCGAATTACCTCGAAATGTCTAGAATTTTCTAGAATCCCGATAGATGGCGCTGCACATAAGGACCGCGCTTCCTAAAATGACCCTCCATATTGAAACCATAGACGTATCCACGTCAACATCTGAACTGACCTTACCACTGCACCAGATATTTACACTCTTTAATTTCTACGATGTTAACTCTTTGATTTCCAATTTACGACTGACGGCAGAGCATGCCGATCCGCCTTTTATAGGGAATTTTGAATCTAGAAATTTCTACACTGGAAATTTCTGACTGACAACCTGTCGGTATCTTACCGACCGATCAACAGTTGGTAATGTATCGGCAGGCAGCATCGCCGATAGATAGCGCGGCTGCATAAGCATTTTTTACCGAATGACCCCCAAAACTAAACCATAGACGTATTTACGTCAAAACAAGTAGAGATTTTCTACAGAAATCTTATAAAAACCCCATAGAATTCCTACAGAATTCCAATAGAATTTGCTAGTGAATTCGCTAGCTTTTCTATTGAATTTTTTCATGCGTGACATTTTCAGAAAGAAATTCATACCTTAACACCATGCCATTCCCGTGGTAGGCTCCCCCATCCAATATTGGAACTTGGTGAGTTTGAAGATGGTGTAGCCTCTCCACCTGACTGGCGTTGTCCCCAGGTATGCCTTATGTCCTTCCCTCCTGCATCGTTACCCCCTTTTTGTGTACTCTGTACGTTCTTCATGAGGTCAATGTCCTTTTACCAAAGTTGCCGGTTCTATCAAAATAATGACAGCCCCCCGGTGTCCTAACCTCAGCACACGCAAGCCCGTTTCATTATTTTTTCGACACTCGTGTGTTCTCAGTTAATCTCTGCGAATGCTTTCTGAATCCTTGTTCCCCGAAAATTCACTCATTTAGGCAGTGATCATGACACTGAATTATCACTTGATGTTTAACAGCTCGGCTGGTTAGGACAGAGTCCACAGTTTGACGGCCGCAGGTGTCACACTGAATGATCATCATTGATCTCAGTGGGTGATCACAAGAGGCGTATTCTCACGCAATGTGAAATTTCAAGGTCACGTGCGCTGAAGATGTCAGCACATATTTGCTGCGTGATTGGTCAAAACCAGGCGGGAATTCCTTTCGTGTACGAAATAGGTGTAGGAACTATTCTTTCGTCCCCAGGCCAAATAGAATTTTTTTGTCAATCCGACTGTAAGGAAGCGCATGTGATGCCCAAATAGCTATTTTCGTCACAAGGTTGAAAATAGTATCTTTCCGGGCTGCTGCCATGGGGTTTTTTACTCGTATGGGGTTGGCGTCCGAGCCGAAGGCGAGGACTGGCCAACCACACGAGTAAAAAANCTTTCTCCGTACTGATCTTGCTTCGCTCGGTTAAATCGGGCCTCATGACAAAAAAATTGCAGACGGCTGTATCTTCGATACAGCTGTAATTGTACGTGGNACCATCGCAGCAGCCCGCGACAAGACTTTTTCGTAATGATTTTCAAATTTTCCAGTGTAGGAAGTATGCAATATCAACTCCCAGACAAGTAATCGTAAGAAGTAGTACAGAATAGTATATTTCAGGGCGAGTGCCATGGGGTTTTTTACTCACGTGGAGTTGGCGTCAGAGCCGAAGGCGAGGACTGGCCAACCACGCGAGTAAAAAACCCCATGGCAATAGCCGTGAACGACATTTTTCCGTAGGGATTTTCACTTTTACGAGTTTGGGAAAGGGCCAATACCAATCCCCGGACGAGGTAAAGTCAAGATCAGTACGGAAATAGTATATTACGTGCTAAGGCGGAGAAGTGCTGAATTCAACGNCTTTTCAAATTTCCTAGAAACTCTTTGTATTCACTCGAATTTTGTACAAACAAGATCTATCCGCGCGCTGATCTATTCATTTGTTGAAATGAAGAAATGGAATTCATTGAATTTCATTTTCTCATGAATACCTTATAAATATTGATAATGAATCAAAGAGAATTCGACTAATGATTGAAGTGAATAGCGAAGTAGAGTAAAAGAATCTATAAAGAATTTTTCATTTTCAATTAATTATCTTCAATTTTTTAAAATAATCGGTCTCCATAAAAGGACAGAATTTATTAATTTCACCGATGATATATATACATGCGTATATGACGTGAAAAAAAAACTTACCACTGAAGAATTTGAAATTATGTCACTGAAGAATTTGAAAATGCCGCGTGTTTTTTTGTGAATAACTTCGTGTCACATATTGCCCAATCAGAATTGAGGATTAGCGGTCAGGCAGTTTCGAGATATTTTGATATAAAACAACTTCACGTTTCTTTCATCTTTAGTAAATAGGACTCTCTGAATTTCCTCGAAATTTCAAGAAACTTCTCGAATTACCTCGAAATGTCTAGAATTTTCTGGACTTCCGATAGATGGCGCTGCACATAAGGACCACTTCCCAAAAATGACCCCCCATATTGAGACCATAGACATATCCACCTCAAAAAATTGTTCGACACACGGCCGTGGGAACTTGTCTACCTTGTATGATTACAGAATACGACAGAACTCGCCTTCGGCTCGTCCTGTAACCTCATATTCGCCAGAAAAGTTCCTCACGGCCTAGTGTCGAAATGTACTGGTTTGTAACTCGGCGGAATACAACTTTTTGGCCTTGTTTCTCGTCAACCCTATCTTAGAGATTCAGTTACTGGGACGTCTACCTTAACCAAGGGAGTGGGCATGAATTACAAGATCATGAAAAACTTCCAATTTTCATAACAATCGGGACGAAATGAGCATTTCTTTTTTTTGAAACACTTCTTCGACACCAACTAAGAGTGAGACGTTTGGTCTCAGTCTTGTGTTATCAAATTTAATGAAGATATTCACATTAGAATTACTTACTTGACATGAATGCGAAAAATATGCCTTCTATTCTTCTGATATGCCTTGAATCCCCTTCAATAATGCATTCATAATAAAACATTGCAACAATGAATAGAAGCTAGTATTCGTTCACTGATTCATTTTTTATTAGTGCATTTCGATACATCTGTTTCCCATTCGATGTATTTATGCTGTTGAAAGCTTCTCTGTATTGTCCATGCGCTTTGTTTTTAACAAGTCTTACAGTGGGATGTTTTCTTACATAAAACTACGTGATAGGAAGGGAGAAGAATGGATTTGGAGAGTTGCAGGTTTGGAGAACATTATTCTTCCAATAATTGACATTCCGATCGAAGATGAAGTAGTAAAAAAATATTGAGAAAATATCTGTAGTGTGATATGTGCTCTACGCGAGTAACGTCGATGCACATATCACACTACAGAGTGACGATAACATACACTCAATTTTTTGTTTCTAATTCCACAGGTATAATATCAGCATGTGGCATTCGAGCAAAACAAAATGCGCCAATCCCGCTCCAAATTTAATGGATTGTGTGGTTTTCTTGAGAGAAAATCCTTGAATTATGCATGTAGAATTGCACCTAATAAATCGAACATTTACTGGGATGGTAGATCACAATTTAGTACCATTCAATATGCATATCGTGTAATTAACATGTGAAGATCATAATTTCTGTAGACAACGTTTCACAGCAAAACACCACATGTGTAAAAACATTTCGTCAACAAAATGCAGTCTCGTTACCAAAGTATGAAACATTATCAATGAATTAAATACTAAAGAAACGAAATAACCACCCCACATTTCTCCGATAATTTTTGTTACTCATCTATAATAATTATTATAAAAATTTCATTTGGGTGGCACCTTTCCTTACTTTCCAAAAGTTCCTCAGAAGACCCCTTAAAATTAAATCGGAGGAAATTCTTCTGCATTCGGAGGGAAATGTCTGTTAATTCTCAACACTCGAGTCACTTGCAATTCTCTTCTATTCAACGAGCTCAACCCCCCAACCATCCTTCCCAAAAATTTCCGGTCCGTATTCGTCCTCGCTGATTAAGTGAATCTTATCAGTCTTCATCCACCTCAAAACCTCATTGTAACAGCAGTACGCGAGGCAGTCGACGTATATCCTCACAGATTTGCCTACGCGCTCTGTCCACTCAAGCACCATCTGAAGAAGTTCCTCTGTAATGGAATCACAGCCCCCGATGCGAATTTCCTCGATGTCTGGAGAAGCTGCAGTGAAGAATTTCCGCATTCCTTCGTCAGTTATTGAGTCACACCTCTCACAACTCAGGCCTCTGATTCTCGGCATGCCACCGAAGTAGGCATCTGTGATGTCGGACAATCCATCCATCACCAGAACTTGCAGCTGAGAGAGTTGCTGCACGTACCTGAATGATGCATCTGTTATTCCGTGGGCACCTGAAGCAAATATTCATCTATTAAATACTGAATATGAATCTATGCATATCTTGTGAATCTATTCAGTATCTATTGAATACTGAATGTGGCTTTTATATCTGTTTCCCAATATTCATCTATTAAGGATAATCGGGCGAGCTGGGAGGGTTGGAAATAAAGCAACCATTTTTTTCTTTTTTTTTTATCGACGATGTTGCCACTTTTTCGCATGGATTAATATTTTTTCATTTATTAAAAAAACAATCTGAAAACCATTCAGTGCGTGGAACAGATACAAATAAATGTGGGCGTCCACATGAAAAGGGCCCACTTTGACAGTATTGGAGTTATGTATGTTCCGATAATCTTGATCAGATTTCTCACATTTTCAGCCCAAAATCAACCCGATAGAATGAAAACTGACGTCAGTATAGACGATCAAAAAAACAATTTAACATTGGTTTAAATGGGAGATGTGGAGAGAAAAACGTGAATATCTCGGAAACTAGATACGACAAAGTGGGCCGTTTTCACGTGGACGTACACAAATGTGATTAGCTCCAAAAATAATTTTTAACCGGAGATACTCCCTAATATTGCCTGAATTTTGAATCCGAATGGGAAAATTTTTTTTGTTCAGCGATTGGTTTTCTGCAGGAAAATAATAGAAACCCCTCCGCCTCACCTCCTACATTTCCTCCTCGCCCGATTATCCTTAAATTCCATTCCGGGTGATAATAATTTATTAATCACCTTTTATGCTCAGATATTTGAGACCTTTGTTGTTGCTGAGGATCCTTGCGAATAAAGTGTCTGCTATCTCGGTGCATCGCAATGAGAGATAGTCCAATTTCGTGAGTGCAGCAATATCTTCGAAATTGCTTGAATGAACAATGCAGGTATCCAATGTCAACTGTTTTAAACTGTTGACATTTCCAATACCTTTCAACATATTTTCGGTTATGTCGAACATCTCCAGAATGAGAACTTGCAGATTTGAGAATTTGGACAGTACCTGTCATATTGGAATAAATGATAATTACAATTCAATTCCTTCTAGAACACACTTTCCCATGTTAATTCCCCTAAGAGTTTCGGACGCTTTTACGGAATTTGCATATCAATCATAATTTTTGAGGGCGCGAATCTATATTATCTTAAGTGTCAATATTTATCAGAATTTTTTAACATTTTTCCGAAGATTTTTCAGTTTGATGAACGGAATAAATATTTCCTCTAGATTTCCAGAATGAAAAGGTCTATTGCAGGGTTGGGCGTGTCAATTACGTTGGTAATTTACACGCCCAACTGGCTCGACAGGTTTTTTACATTTTTTATATTACTTCAAAAAACTTGCAATTTTCAGTCATTAGAATGTTTTATTTTATTCCGACTGACGAAGACGCAGTATTGGACACAGAAATACACGGAGAGAAATTTTCTAGAAAAATTCGAGTACGAGTACTGAAAAAAATTACAATCCACCGGCTGTGAAAAATTCTAGTACTGTTAAGGTAAAATTTCCTGGTATTTCTGGTAAAATTTTTGAGGATTTCTGTGAAAATTTCACAGTTTCAACGTCTCAACAAAATTGTTCCTTCAAAAAATGTTTAAATGCACACTTAAATAGTTACTTGAAAATTGGAAAATTTCGTGCTCAACGATTGAATCAGGGCTCGAGAACAATAAGACTCCCCTTTCGTTTCAGCCCCCCCCCCGGTGATCTGCGCACGAAAGACCTTAAGAATACTGAATGAAACAAGTTAATGTCAAGACAGAAGATGATGACGACGAATTGAATAGAGATCAATAAATAATGATAAATGATAAAACTTTGCGAAGTTTCACGGTTTACGATAAAATGTAACGTCGGCTGCTTTTTTACATTTTTTACGTAAATAACGGGTTTTTTACAATGTCATGTTAAAAACTGCTGTCATCGACAGATGCCGAAACCCTGGTCCATTGAAAGACGCTGGGCGTTTGTGAATCCTCAAAATGTTTAGGGGAGGATAGGGTAAAATGGACACTTTAGACTTTTTTCAAATTATTCATAACTCAGAAACAAATGTATCAATAGAGCTCAGTTTAGGCTCATCACTAAGGGAAAGAATTGTTCTTCGTATTGAAAAAAAAAATTGAATGTTATCGACATTTCAATCCGTCACTAACATTTACAAAAAAGTCAAAAGTGTCCATTTCACCGCAACCTCCCCTACAATACAAAAATTAAATTTTAAAAAAATTCCAGGCGGCTGTACCCTCGATACAGCTGTAATTGTACGTGGATACGTCCATGGTCTTTCCTTCTTTCTCGAATTTCCTAGAAACTCCTTGCTTTCCCTCCAATTTCCCAGAAACTCCCAGAATTTCCTCGAAATTTCCACAAACTCCTTCAATTTTTTCGAAATTTCAATTTCAAATTTCAAAATTCAATTTCAATCTATTGGAATTCTAGAAACTTCTCGAAATCTGTAGAATTTTTTCTAGAATTCCAATAGATGGCGCTGCACATAAGGACCGTTTCCCAAAATGTCCCCCATATTGAAACCATAGACGTATCTACGTAAAAAAATTGAATTAAAATTAAATCTTTGAAATTGATTTAACGCAATTGTCAGAGTCACCGAAAAAACAGCCAAATGATTTTTAACAACCCCTTTCAGTGATTCAGTATTTACCGTAGTTGTCGGAAGACACAGGTAGGCATCCAGTGACCGAAGGTCCAGTCTTTCCACTTGACTGGAAAGGAGGTGTATAAAATCCACATCTCGGTTCTTAACTTCTTCACCGAAGTACAGCTCGAAGCGTCTTAAATTCTGGTTCTTCTGTATCAATACACTCATATGGGGAACGCATGGTCCATAGTCCACCCTGGCTAATATGCACTTGAGACATTTCAGGTGTTCACACTTGTCGGCCACAGGTGCGACATATTTATCTGCATTTTCCTCCACATCCACGTATACATTCTTCACTGAATTTGCAGCTTTGGAGACAACTGTCCTCCACAGGCAGTGGCAGTACCAATCGTCCGATGTTACACTCGTGACATTCGACCAGGTTTTACGTCCGATTTCATTCCATCGTTTGGAGACTAGCTCCACACTGAATTTGTCTCTGGGGGAAAGCCGGAGGAATATTTCCTCCAAACAATCGTCAGGCAGCATCTGAATGGGTGAATAGTTGTCTGAGACCAGAGTGATCATGAGGGCCTGATTATCGCGGCTTGTAAGGTTCCTCTGAAAGTCCTCCCAAATTTCCCAGCCTTCAGTCTCATTTTTGAATGTTATCCTTGCAATTCTCTCTTCTCCATGTCTCCAATTTCCCAGTGTGTGGCACAAGAATACGTCTTTCATATTTTCGTACGGTGAAAACAGAAACATCAATCTTCCACAGTCAATACCCATTGGTACTTGATTCACAATCATAGTTTCCCATGGAGTCTCTGAATTTCCAGTTTCACTGGGGTCTGGAGAGGCTGGAGACATTTGTTGAAAGGGAGAAGATGGACGCATTCTTTTAGCTGGAGTTTCGCACTGTTGAGTGAATCTGGTGTTCCTTATCGAAGCAACACATGGAGAACAAATGAAGTGACACGACTGCACATTAGCGGGAAAGTTTCTCTGAAGTAAATTCTTGAGTTTGGCAATTTCTGATGGATCACCACAGGCATTTTCGCAGACAAAACAACAGTGTTGCGTTGCAGGTAGAGGATTCATCTTGCTTTTAGGGTTGGAGGGAAATGTGAACACTACTTTGAGGGGGGCACTGATGCTTTTATTTGATGGATTGGATGGCGAAAGTTCATTCACGCACGATTACTTTCGAGTTTGGGAGTGTTTTTGAGGATTATTTGATTGGAAGGGTCATTATTAGCACGATCATTTTTATTTAATTGCTCTATTTATCGGTTTATCGTGGGTGCACTGGGTTTTCTGCTTTACCTCAGACTGTAAAGAAGTCTCAGCTGGTGTTCGATTCTATTCTAGCTGTTCCTTTGGTTGGCAATATTCCCGTCACTGCTGCGATCGAGCGCCGTTGGAGAGGGACTACCGGGTGAGCGGCGAGAGAAGTACTGGACGATCAACGAAGATGACAGCACGTGTCGAGGGAGGAAAGCGCGGTAATTTCAGTCGTTTGAAATATAGTATTTTTCATTACGCTGTGCGAAAATAGTATATTTCGTAACGAGCTAAAAAACATTTTTCACGAGTTACGAACAATATTTTTCATCACAATGTGGCGGAAATTGGACTTTTAGGCACGCGGAGCGTGCCGAAAAGTTCACTTTTCGTCACAGCGTGATGAAAAGTAACTTTAACTTTTAAAACGTCCTGTTTGCATACATTGTGGTGAAAAATATCGTTTGATATTCATGGGAAAAGTGTTTTTTGACTCGTGGGAGGTTTATAGCGCGAGCCAAAGGCGAGAAAACACTTTTTCGCACTCGTATCGAAATGTACTATTTTGACACTGCTGCGACGTTCACCTCGCGCCGAAACGTGAATTTTCGTTTACTCGTAAGCGAATATTCACTTTTTCACGCTTCGCGTGCCTAAAACGTCCCTTTTCCACACATTACGATGAAAAATATCGTTCGATACTTGTGGGAAAAGTGTATTTTGGCTCGTGGGAGGTTATATAATATAATGAGGAGATATAATCTCACGAGCCAAAAAACACTTTTCCGCACTCGTAACGAAATATACTATTTTGTCACTGCTGCTACGTTCAGCCCGTGTCGAAAAGTCGAAACTTGTAAACGAAAAGACTTTTCATTTTCGGTCTTGCTGGGGACTTTTAGATGACATCCGTAAAAATTGTTCCCTGGGGGGTTCAATTTTTTCTTATTATTCTTAGTGGTTCGTAATTAGAATTAAAAAAAGTTTTTAGAAGAAAAAAAATCAATTTCCACTATCTCCGCTGACAAATGAATTAGCGAGCTCCGTTTGCGCTCATTTTGCTGCTTTTGGACTACACTTTTCGATAAAGAATAGAAAAAAAAACTTTTAAATTTTTGAGGCAACTTTGCATCTCCAGTCTTAATTTAGAAAATGAAGGGACTCCATTATGCGTAATAGGTCACTTCCTCAAGCAACTGCTGAATCAGAATTGAAGTGTACCAATCGAACTGGTTGGGTAAATAATTAAAAAACATCGAGGTATTTCTTCAATATTTTTATAGATCCATGATAATAACAATATATCGTTTGATATGTATGTACAATATTTATAATAAGCATGCAATTTCATTTGCACTTATTATCATAAGGACAATACAAAGAAAATAATTTTTACTTCAATTATGGCAATACAAAAGAAGAGTACCTGTCCGGTGCCTCCAATACTCCAATATTTCTTTATCTACTTATGATTATTCAGTGACGTATAATCTATATACGTCGTCAATCACTAGTCTAACAGTTGCGTCGATTAATATAAAAACAGAAATGAATTCTCATAAAGAATTTATTTGAATAAATACTGATTGGAGGCAAAAATCAACTCACTCGGCATTTGTAGCATTTTACAGCTCAAAATAACTCTCTTACTGATTAGAAGGCACTGTTGTACTTCTGTACAATTTTCTTTCCTTTACAGTTTACAATTTTCCCAAGGAAAATCCCTCCCTCTCCTCATCTCCCCAGCTTCATTGGAAATTCTCAATAATCTCCGCATCTTATTGAATAGTCTTTCGCATAATAATGAATACAATAGGTACAATTTCGATTTCATGTCGATAGAAAAAGTGTTTGAGCACTTCAGCGTAATTCAATTCAATTTCACAATGTAACTCTCAAATAGAATTTGTCGATTATGTGGCAGTATCGAGAGGATAGTTTCACGCACGTTGAGACGTATGAAAAAATTTTAACTGAGAATTTTTTCGGGATTATATTTGGGAAGAAATTGATAAATTTTGACTTCTCTGAATGACTTATTCTCTCAATATCCATTCTACAGAAATTCTTGAGCGTAATTTTTTTACTTTTTCTGCTGTATTGTTTCAATTTGTTTCCATTTACGAAGTCTCAGATTTTTTTTTCAAAATTCCAAGAATTTTCGAGAAACAAATCGCAACTGAATAAGTCTTTTTATTGAAGATCTATTAAATTGCATGATTGTCGATGAATATCTCCGAATGTAAGGGAGATAACAAAATTTTCGTAATCACCTTTTTTATAGAGCAAGTTAAGAACTACAAAAAAGGTAATGATAAAAATTTTGTTATCACTCTTAGATTTAGAGATATTTCTTAAAAACCGGCCAATAGTCAAAATCGATTTGGACCGTTTTACCGCTTCGCTATTGAGTGCGATTTTAGCAGAATCTCAATAGAATACCAACAGAGCATTTGATGTGTTTTAATTTCCAATTTTATGACCGCATATGAGCTCGACTATTATGATATCAGTTTCAACAGAATTCTCCACATAATTTTTTCATACGTAAAACACGTGCACCAAAGGAATTGACATATTTCTTCCTAAAATTTAGTGCAAATCAAATCTCACGGTGTGCAACACCTAAAGATAATTTACATATCTCATTCATTTGCAATTCGTTGGTCACCTCGATTAACGAGACAGTTCATACAGTAATCTAAATACAATATTTTTCGTATTACAAATACTAGAATAATTTTTCATCTTATACGAAACAATTTTTTTACAGTATTGATACAATTATTGTAGGTGGCAGTATCGCACTATTTTCAACAGTCATGATTTTTCACTTTTGAGATTCTGTTATCGATGATAAATTGTCTTGTCCCTTTTATAAAATTCTCTCCCAATATAGTTTTATTTCACTTTGAATTTCGACGAGAACAATGCAGCAACGAATTAAATGTTCATATTCCTATCGACCGATATCAAGCGTGAACAAAGGATGCATCTTCTTGTCACGCTTCTGCCTCCTATCAGACTATTCGATGCTCCGCATATCGACACCAAGTCTGTCCATTATTATTGTCCTCGTGATAAAGTAACTCTCAGTCATCGAAGTCGTGTCTTAATTTGATGTACAGGCAGGAGCCAAGGATAATGCCGAAGACCTCGAGCACGGAGAGCCCAAGCCCCACAGCGCCCAGTATTATTAAATGCTCCTTAGTAGTCTCCAGAAATTTGTATATACAACCCTGCAATCAATAACAAAATGTAAACAAGTGGGCGACTGATTTTTTTTCATTACTTGGGGCAGACATTGTTGCTAGTAAATTAGCAAGAATGCTTTGCTTAAATGATGTGCTTCCGAATGGATCTCTCTACTTAAGGGTGCCAAGTGAATTTGGCGATGACCTTGAAAATTGACATTCACCAACAAAGTTATAATTTTTTTAATTAATAGTATTAGACAGATGGTGAACATCGGTGACAATTTTAAAATTTTAGAACTTATGGATATCGAGAAATTAAATAAACAAAATCAGTCTTATATACGGCCTCTTATGGAGTTTTGATTAAATTGAACATTTCAACCCCCTAGGAACTCAAGAAAAATTTGAAAAAATTTGACGATATGGGGAATGATGTGTTCAAGTGATGGCGACAAAAAACAATGGGGTACCGGGGTGAATAAGAGAGGTATTTTAACCCGCCGTACCCATTTGATCCCATGCTTTCTCGAGGTTCGTCACGCGAAATAGAGGATTTCCCGCATTTATTTTCTCGATGTCTAGTTCCGGTTGCGGATTTGAAATTCCGTCAGATGGATAAATACATATTTTTCCAATGATGGAGGGAAAGAAAAAATTGTTTTTGAATCTTTTTTCAAATTCACTTGGCACCCTTAAGGGGAAACGGAACTCCTGCGTTTATATGAATCTTCAGAATTTTTTCCGAACGCAGTGCATATTGTCTATTTAATTTCTGAACAATCAACTCAGGTTGGTGGATTAAAATTCTTATCATCACGAAGGAGATAACTGTGTTTATACACTATAAAAAAATCGAACATTTTTCAACTGCCCCCGTTTCTCAATAGACATCCTTAATGAACTAATTAGCGAGAAACATTATACCCCGTTTTCTGATCCCAAAAATTAGTCATCTTACCCCAAAAACCCGGGACCTTGCATTTCGCAGATTACAATACCTCCCTTCGGAAACAATATTTTAATTAATCCAGTTGCAGTATCAGAATGCAAATGATGTTCAAACTCACCGTGTACTGAATATTAGACGGATGATCTCGCCTGCCGCACAGTAGTGTTGGGGTTTTGCAGCAACTGTCAGGTACAAGGCTTCCATCACGCTGTACTTGTTCATCCTTGTACCACTCACTCGCCAACCAATCCTCGAATCTACGTGCCCCACAGCATTTGAACTGTAACGTGACAACAATAGACTTCATTACAAGAACGTAAATTTTTCAATATCCCCAGAATCGATGAAATCTGAACAAATCACGAGTACAATATCCTCCAACAAACTACACAATACCACGTTATTCATGAAAAATTCCATCTATAGGTGCAGATGGTTGAAAATAATGGGAACAATTTATTTATCGCGTGCAGTGTTTCGCCGATAACCGCGAATTTATAGATTTACGAGGGATAAAAAATTGTTGGAGCAACTGGCGGTGATGTTTTATTTTTTCATTTTATTTTTACTCATTTCTTTCGGCGGCTCGAAAAGGATTGGAACGCTTGCGATACTCACTTCAATTTGCATCTGGTCGATAGCTGCGGTTTCCCGTGAACTCACGGAATAGTATTCAAGAAAAGTACGATTCAGCGTCTCTCTCATCTCAGGACCAACTTGTTCCTCGTGTAGTCTAGCAAGTACACCTACACCAGCTTCAAGTCCTAAGACCGCCATTACCACAAATATGTACTGAAAAGTTGACAAAAGGGGTAAAATCAGAGCTCAAAGTTTAATAGTGTAATGGTGTTGCATTATGAGTTTATAAAAGTGTATGAATGGAATATATTACGAGTCACGTACAACACTTTGGCATGAACTTTGTGAGGTCAGAGACGTGATAATTCAACGAGTTGTGGAGTTGTTTGTACAGTGTCTCGGAAATTGTCTATCATCACTGGTACGTGATGTACAATTGTACATTGACAATGACGGTATTCAGTTGTAATAATGCCCATCCGAGGGGATATAATGAGTTGTGTGATTGTATCGTTGAGAAACAATTGTTGTTGCAGTGTAATGACATTGAAAAAAATGTACACGAAGTGACGATAAAGGACGGATGAGTTCGTAGTTGTTCATGCAAAAATGATTCCTTTGTCTGGCCATAAAGTGCGGAAGATGTTTTATACTTAGGTGGGAATAACCAGGGGTATTGGACAAATAATACACCACGGTTACCAAACCGGAGTATACGAGATACTTCGGTGAGGGAAAACCTTTATAACCCACCACCAGGAGAAAGGGCCCTCGTAACTCTTTACGAGCGATTGTTGGATGAAGTGGTGAAAAAAAATGGCAGTGGGGGAGAGGAGAACAAGAAAAAGCTGTCAAGTATATAAAAACTCTCACAAACTCGTGTGATACAACTGAGAGTAGGTACATATCCTGGGGTATTCTGGTGTGCTTTTGTCGACTATTTTTTTATTAGAAAGCCTTCTGCCGGCTTCAGTTGGAATGGATGAGTGCAATTTCGAATGGGATTATCTTATTCGTCTTTGATGACGGGACAATATTGGTGGGGAACGGATGGGAATGTCTATATTTCTTTTAGGTGCTTCCTTGGCCATTCCATTTCGAATGGATCTAGATGCATGTGAAACTGGTTCTTTATGTTTCAGTTGTTGGGATTTGGTTATCAGTCCATCGGGGGATAGGTTATTGACATCGAATTCCAACTTTTCTCAGCTTGCCGGTTCTTCGCTGGGGATTACGGTCATATTGTTTGAGGAAATTTATCGACTACAGGGAAAAACAAGCAGGGATTCGAGCCTATCCGACGGAAGGCATCTGTCCGTTACTTTTTGCGTCATTAGACTTTTTCTTTTTGTCTTGCGAATGTATGCGTAGTAATCGGCTTATTTCGGCTTCCGAATGTATGCGTCGTAATTCCGAATCCTTGGGACAGGAATACAACCGGAACCACATGCTACAGGGTGTCTACAGAATAATATTCAACCGATTAATGAAATCGATTTATAGGAAAGATTAAATATCGGCGAAACTGCTCGGCCGGTTAACCGCAATTGCGCCTATCCAAAATACCAACCTCCAGTATCGTAAGCGCTATAATCATATTAAATTTGTAGTTGCTATTTTCATTTTTAACTTCCCGACCCGAAGGGAGGAAGTTATTGTAATGACCCCAAAAATCGAATGTGGGAATTTGAGCATTTTTGTACGGTTTATGACCTTTGGAACAACTTCTGACCTTTTTCAGGTACCTGTCTGTATGTGTGGATGTATGTGTGTGTGCGGACGTCTGTGACAAAAATTTTGTGCCACGATTTCTCTTGAACAAACAATGCGATTTGACTTTTTTTTTTCAATCGCTGTTTTCTCATATAACTTGAACCTGATTAAATTATGGAAACAATCGTCTCAGCGCTTCTCCAGTTTTTTCCAAAAAACATCTGGAAAAAAGTCGAAAATTTGCGTTTTTTTTGTAAACGAAACCATTCCTCCGTGCATAACGATGCGATTTGAAGTTTTTTTGTTAGAAACGATGAATCTTGATGTAACGCACAAATTCTAGAATTCTGGAAGACATTAACTCAGCAGTTCGTCACAATTTTCGATTTTTCGGAAATGAATGGAGGAAAGGAATTGGTCGGGAAGTTATTGGTTCGACCCGTAATGGGTCACACCCAATTCCACCCCTCCCTACCGGTCATACCCCAAAGAGTGAGCGCGCGAAGCGCGCGAGCGGTCCTGATTTTTTCTCACGTTATCGTGCGTATAAGAGTGAAAAAACAAATAAATAAAAAACGAAAAAATATTTCGAAAATTTTGTACGAATGGGCATAAAGATTTCGATTGATATAGATAGAAGCTGTCGAAACGAGTATTTTGAAAAGAAGAAAAATTAAAATCGGTGCAGTAGTTTTTGAGATATTGACGAAAACCGAAATTTAGACAATTTGTTATATCTCAGGAATTGCTGGGCCGATCGGGCTGAAACAGCGCGCTAAAGTTGAGCTCAATCATAGTTGCAGTGAGCCAAAATTTCAGATTTTTATGTCACCGTATTTATGTTCAATTTTCTAAAAATTAATCATCAAAAACCCAATTACACACGGACATGACCCTAAAAACATTATTTCTTCATGTTTCATAAGATTCTAGACCATTTGCAATCAAAATTATAAAATCGAAAAACCTGTCAAACACGAAAATTACGTATCTTTTCCGTAATTCCGAAGCGAAATGTGATTGTAGGAAATTTTACGGAACTGTCACGGACTTTTTATCTGAATCTCTTGCGAAAAATTACGATACCATCCCTTAAATTTTCTGAGTCGATTCCGTAATCGGTGAAACCGTGAATTCCGTAATTTTTACTGAACATTTCTCTCCGTGTAGTTTCCAGGACTTGTGTCCAGTAAAAATTACCTGAAAATGTAACTATTTATTCTGTTCGTTCGCGAAAAAATTGTTTCAAAGGGGAAAATTGCCTGTTATTTTCCCCTCAAGTTCAAATGAAAAATCTGGAAGTACAACTTCGCTATGTGATTACTTAGATTGTGCAATAATTTTGAGTGTAATTTTTTCCGCATGTATTTTGAAGAGATAATTTTCCACCACAACTAAGCAAAACGACGAGCTTGAAAACACTCTCAATACACTTGGGACGATCTATTCATAACTGCAATTCGAGTTATTTTAAATGCATAGAGGAATGTTCTGGAGAGTCACCGGGGTGAGAAATTACATCTCTGAATGACTAGACACGTTGGAACTGGTATGTCCAGAGATAGTGTCAGAACATTTGGTCATTCATCGGACCATGGTCAATTACTAGAGCAGTGACCCTCTGCGTGTGTATGCATGGGCATCAATATGAGAAGCTATATTACACGTAAACGGTTTGATGTTGCTTTGATATCACTTCAGTATTCAGGGCTCGTTAAAACCTGATGTGGTAACTAAAGTTGAACTAAGTTCGTCACAATTGGTCAGTCCTTTGATAAGCGATTTCTCTGGTTAGAATGGGATGATCTAACAGCTAGGGTGATGCGTTCGTTCATTGACCATCAGTGTTATGAAGCTTTACCAGATGAATGGACAGTGTTGAAATTTTTTTGTGATAACAAATATTGGTAAATGTTAAGAAAGAGGGCCCCACCACCAATCTTTCTGAAAACTTGACCATCGGATCGGTGGTGGGGCCCTCTTTCTTAACATTTACCCAAATATTGGTGAATCTTGCACAGTTCAAAAGAATGGCATTTTAGAATGGAATGATCTAATAGCTACGGTGATGCGTTTGTTCATTGAATTGCATTATTTGACTACTATTACGATCACGAACTAAACAGTCTTATATGAGACAATACATTTCGACGTCTCATCTATCTACTTCTGAAAATAAACGAAGATATAAAAAACAGAAGAAAAGTGAAGTAGATAACAAATCAACTATTCAACACAAAATATCAAATCCTCAAGTCCAAATTAAAGAAGGAATAATGAATCAGTACTATCGAAATAATTGAAATTTATAATGAAATGGAATAATGAAGATAATTCATCATTATTCTGAACGACATGTTCTAGTTCCTAAAAAAATAGAAATGTTCTTGCTATTTTGTAATGTTGCAGTCGAATTTCATCAATTCATTGTAGTTTTAGAGAAAAAAGATGAATTACGGTTGTCGACCTTTTCAAAATTCTGTTCTGTGCAAAAAATTGTCCCATCATGTTATGAAATTGCCGCTAAATTTTATACCTCTCGAATAATTTGCCATGAATATCCAAGTATTCTAAAACTATTGGTTCATTTGTCAGTGAAAAATTGGAAATCCAAGACTTGCTCTGAATTTTAAGGACCATTCGAAGTAGAAAGAAAAAAATGAGGAAAAACTTCGTCTGGATTTTATACGTTAAAAATCCACATAGAAATTGTTACTGTTGAACAGCGAAAAGTTTTAGTAAGGTCTCATTTAATCGAAGAAAATGACATTGTGTTTTAAAGAGCCAGAAAGTTTCAGCTCAACGTATTAACCATTTCTCTCAGAATAAATCCGTCGTAGAACTTCACCACACAATTTGAAATGCTACCGTCAGCATTCCAAACAATTTCGAAAGTAACAAATATAAAAAAACATAAGTATTAAAAACAAAATCAAAATGGAAAAATGAAAATTTTCTTCTCAAGATGTTTTACAGGGAGAGAAAAATTCAATAAAAATTACCAGAAAAAAAGTAAAAATTACGTTTCGAAACGTATTCCGCGAGCGAAGTAAAATTCAATAAAAAGTGTGAGTCGAAACTGAAATTGTACAAATCGCCAAGTAAATTCTACGATTTGTTCCGTAAAAATTAATCATCCGTCTGATGACTCACTGCTGTGAGGACAACAAGTCGTTCCGTAATTTTTCCTCAACGATTGAGAAATTTTACGGAACGGAACGTAGAAATAACTCACCAGCTTCATAAAAATTGTTGAACGTTCAAAAATTTTTGATTTTGGAGGCATAATAAGTCGGCAAGTTTCTCTAAGATTTTACTTCTTCGGGAAAAATTACGTGACAATTTCGTCCTTTGTTCGGTGATGAACCTGAAAATTCACTGAACGTTTCAGATTTCTTCTCTTCCATTCCTATAAAAATTTCCGGAAACCGATTTCCCATTGCGGATTACGTGAATTGTTCCGTAATGTTTACTGAATATTTCTCTCCGTGCATATTTCT